AATCAAAATGAACATTTTTCATGTTATTGTTTCACACTGTAAGTTTCATTTTGTTTCAGTTTTCAAAAGAAATTGAATTTTTAGTATTTGTATTTGGGGATCTCGTCTCTCCTTTCCCCCGCCTTCCCTACCGCACCTTCTCATACTGGAAGAGCGGGGAGTGAAAAAGGGAGAAAAGATGAGGAAAACAGATTTTTCCCTCATTTTTTTTTCTCTCACTCACCCTTTTCCAGTGGAAAAAGGCAGAAAAGAAATAAAAATGGAGAGAAGTGGGAAGCGGAATCCAAAAATCTTGAAATCAAAAATGGGAGAAAAATTTGTTTTTGAAAACCAAACAAAAACCAAAACTAAAAAAAATTTTCATTTTTGCTGAAAAATGATTTTTTTCATGGGGGCGGGGAACTAATTTTTTCTTCCCAATCAGCTCTAAAAGGAATCAGTCTGACCATTAGCCTTTTCTCCATGTTCCTCAATGGGACTGTTAACTAAGGTCTGTTGCCTGAATAAAAACTGCAGGCTCAGACTTGTGTGTTAAATTGCACATCTGATTGAACTACTACTCACACTGCTCTTGAATATTTGAAGTGTTCTAGTTACATTTTGTAAGGCATTTTTGAGCCTTGATGAGAGAAAGTGTAGATGATGAGAGAGAGTCTCCTGATGAGATTGATTCCAGACTGGCTTTGTGTAGAATCTCTTTGTTAATGGATCACTTTTCTGGTTTGTCATTTGTCATTTGTCCTTTTGGCAGGTCTCTTGCTATGCAAGGAAGAGATAATGTAGGCTGAAGAGATTTCTTATACCAGGGGTCGGCAACCTGCGGAATGCGTGCCAAAGGCGGCACACGAGCCAGTTTTTACTGGCACTCTGCTGCCAGCCGGGGTCCCAGCCACTGGCCCCGCTCAGCCTGCTGCCTGCTTGGATGAACGGAACCCTCAGCCGGCAGCGGGCTGAATGGGGCCAGCAGCCGGGACCCCGGCTGGCAGGAGCCAGCGGCCAGAACCCCAGACTGGCAATGGACTGAGCCACTCAGCCCACTGCCGGTCTGGGGTTCTGGCCGCCGGCCCCTTGCCAGCTGGGGTCCCGGCCGCCAGCCCCACTCAGCCCGCAGCTGGTCTGGGGTTCCGGCCACCGGCCCCGTGGCAGCCGGGGATACTAGCCGCCGGCCCCACTCACCTCGCTGCACTATTATTTACTTTACATACAACAATTGTTTAGTTATATAATATAAACTTATAGAGAGAGACCTTCTAAAAATGTTAAAATGTATTACTGGCAGGCAAAACCTTAAATTACAGTGAAAAAATGAAGACTTGGCATCCCACTTCTGAAAGGTTGCCGACCCCTGTCTTATATGTTACTAATTTTCATTATCGAACACATCATATTTCATTTGTATGATCTCTTTGGGTCTTTCCATTGGGAATCTAATCATACTGCACCTTCTGTGCTATAGAGCTCTCAATATTAATCTCTGCCTAAGTTATGCTATCATAATACAGACCGTTCCCTATTTTACTGTTTCCCAATCACTGTCCCATGACTCTTTTGGAGTCCAACCCTGACTGGGGTGGACACCTCTGTTTCCCAGGTGCAGCCCATAAGACTGGCAGCACACAGTCTAACTAACCAATCCCAGCAATCCAGGATAAATCTTTTTCAGGAAAACCTGTCCTAAGATAACATACTTGAAAAAAAAAACATCCAAAAGTCATCTGAGACCCCTAAATCACAGGGACTTTGATAATAGATCAGTCAGATTTTTTTAGTTTAGTTTAATAGTATTGGCATCTAAAAGGTGTTCTTCAATATTCAAACACAGATTATACTGATATGTAACTTTCTATAAGTTTATTACATTCTTTGGGAAAAGCTATCCTTTACAACACCTGTGTGTTAATGAAATTCTTGCAAAATTCCACCAATGAATTACCTACAAATGACTACACAGAGTACTAATGCCTAGTATCCCAGAAAACTATAATATCCTGTTAAATTTTGAAAAGGAAAAGAGAAAAGTAGACCCACAATTACAGTTCCTGAAAATAAAACGTAGGCACTCTGCCAGTCTTTGCATTATCTATTCCCTGTCTATTAAGATATTTCTTCTACTTCAATGAATTTACATGACAAGATTAATAGTGGCATAGCTCCTGTGTTCTTAATCTCTGGGTATAATAACATTTATGCATGTAATTTTCTAATGTACAAACTTCTTTCAGAGCTTATAAAAATGTAACAATGCATATCTTAGAAAACTTGCCAGCAGCTACAGCATAGTTATTATGCTTATTATGGTGTGCTGCAGACCTACATTACTTCTAACATATTACTGGTAATGTTACAAAAAGACTCACCTTTTCATCTATAAAACAAGTATATGGTTCTGCTTTCTGGTAATGGACTCTTTTGCTCACTCAGAAAAGTAACAACATTAACATGCATATAGTAACCTCTCAAATATTTTTCTATTACAAAAAATATTCCCCCTATTTCTGTATAGAAAGGAGCGAATTTTTTATCACCCACAGCTCATCTGTACAGTACAGTACATCAAACCATAATGTTCTCTAGCATATTACAGAAGATAGTTGCATATTGTGAGATTATGAATAGTTAGATGACATGAAACTGGAGAAAAAACTCTCTATCTTCTAAGCAAGCTTGCTATGGAAAATTTTTGAAAGTTTTATAGAAGTCATGGTAGAAACTTCTGGAAACCATGGTAATCTTCTGAAAAGTCATGTTACATGAATGTGTTACAGCAAATTCATACCACTGAATATTAAGTACACATTATGAATGTGGTAAGGATTTTGCTATATTATTTTTCAGCAACAGGAGTCTTATTAAGAAGATTTTAAAATATTGACAGGATGTGAATTAGATGCTATGTCTAACAGTTCAATGTTTATCTGATACAGACTTTGTAGTAATCAAACCACTTCTGTAGACCTGGATCTATACATCTTTTATGTATTGATATGGTCTAATCCAATATGGTAATTCCTTTGTTCTGAATTAATCTGAGCTCCCCATGTCTCCTGGGCCCACCCCTCTGAAAAAATATCCAAGACTCCAATTTGACTCCTTTCCACTTCCATCATTTAATAAAATCCATGTGTTTCTAACCTAAATGTCCCAATGTTTTCCATTGATCTTCTGACTTGACCAGAAACCAGTCTTTTGAAAAGCCTCAGGGGAGGATTCACACCTTTCCTACTGCTTATTTCTCTGTTATGGTCAATTAGCAATAAAATCAAGTAATTTTTCTATACCACATGCTGCAGAAATCCCTTTGGATCTAAATTCAGTGTGGCTATGAATTGCACTCAAATCTTGTCTCCAACATTCTGCTCTTTCAACATGCTCACCATTCCAGGTTGAGACCAACCATGCATATGTAAGAAAATAATATTACTCATTTTTTAAAATAAAACTGAATAAAGTGACACTGATATTTACAGCAGTACCTAGCAAATGAGGCATATGCTAGTGGTTCTCAACCAAGGATCTGGGGCCCCCTGGGGGGCCGTGAACAGGTTTCAGGGGGTCCACCAAGTATGGCTGGCATTAGACTCACTAGGGCCCAGGGCAAAAAGCTGAAGTCCTGCCATGTGGGACTGCAGCCCGGGGCCAAGCCCCACCACCCAGGGCTAAAGCCAAAGTTTGAGCAACTTAGCTTCGCAATGCCCCCTATGGTGTGGAGTCCTTGGCAACTGTCCTTCTTGCTACCCCCTAATACCAGCCCTGGCTTTTATACGCAGTAAAACAGTTGTTGTGGCACAGCTGGGCTGTGGAGTTTTTATAGTATGTTGGGGGGGCCTTGTAAAGAAAAAGGTTGAGAACCCCCTGGCATATGCCATTGGCACTTTATCTATATAGATATTCATATGCTATGATGATGGCTGACAGTACAAAATATTTAGGGAAGCAAGAGATGAGTAAGAAAATGATACTTTTGTGATCACTGCTAGGAGTATGCACTCTATTCTGGGCCGCCTCTAAGAGCTTGTATACACAAGGATACTCAGGAGAGTTAAGACTAATTAACTAAAGGTGTAAAATGAATCCCGCAGGCTTAAACCAAAGCAGGAACTAAGGCTAATTTACTTCTGAATGACAGCATCCACTCAGGGAATTAATGCTCTTTAACTTCACACTTTTAGTTAATCCATTTTAATTTTCCAGTGTTCCCATATAGACAAGACCTAAGCATTCACTCCTTCCTTCCTTATTCATCACTGAGCTTCACCACTGTTCCAACAGTATCAAAACTTCACAGTGCTCTGTCTTCCAGCCAGCTATGTCTGAAGATAACATTCAGAGTGCCTGATGCTCCATGCTGCTCCAAGTAAGAGGGGGCTGTGCACTGATTCTTTTTTTTTCAATCAATTTTGTTATTAAAGTGTATCAGAGTTGAAAGGTCAAACTCATCTTTAGTGTAACTTCACTGCCTACAATGGAGTTACGTGAGTATTGAATTAGGACCTAGTATTTTAAAAGACAGCGATATGAGAATGTCATCTATGTAGGACTGAAATGGGGAACAATGATGAAAGCCCTCGTTGATATGACTGCAGGGCTCATCCAAATGCATTGGCTCGTTTAACATACAATATTTTGCTGTTCCATTTTGTTAATTTGAGTGCCAGCATGCTCTATGGGACTTACCTGGCTACCCAAACATCTGTTACAAGTTGAGAAAAATAAGAAAACTTGGTGCAGTCCATCTTCCGTCTCCACAACTTTTTCTGCCTTTTTTTTCTTCTTATCAGTAGCCAGGCTTTGGAGTTGTTCTCCGACTCCGCTCCAGCTCTAGGCAAAAACCTGCAGCTCTACTGCTCCGGAGCTGCTCCGCACTCCAGCTCCGGGCTCCACTTGAAAGCACTGATCAGTACTGCATCTTATAACCAGATACTTAAAGGAAAATGATATTTCCTAGAGGCAACATCTCTCAGATCATTTATACTGCCTACATTTAGCATATCATAGCTTACCTGTTTAACAGCATAAAGGAGACGCCCATAGCAGTATATCATGACCATTACAGGGATGACCAAGCAGAATATGAAGAGACAGATGATATAGGACACAGACTCAGCTGTTTTGGAGGTCCAACGTACTGAACAGCTTGTGCCGGCCCCCTCAATCCCATAACTGCTCCAGCCAATGAGCGGTGGTACTGTCCAGATCAGAGAATAAAGCCAGGAACCACCAACTGCTAGCAGAGCCTTCTGATAGTCAGAGCCTCGTTTGTTACATAGGGTGATGGTGCTATAGCGTTCGTAAGACAGGATAGCCAAGGAGATCAGGGACACAATACCTGTAAACAAAAAACAAAAAACAATTTAGGGATTTAGTACCCCTGTTTTATATGGCACCAATGTAACAGATATGACAATATCCTGGACACACATTACTGAATTATAACTTTAAACCTTACTGAATTACGTTTAAGTATTTTAGGAGTACATTGTATTGAAAGTGCAAATGTTTATGTACTATTGAGGAATTGTATGAATTACCATGGGGGTATGGGACCACAGTCCTCCAGGAACTAAGAACAGTGGGAGGGTGATTAGGCAAATTCACTCAAGTTTCAACACCGCCAGAGAGGTGCCACCAACTTATGAGAGAATCACTAATATTGCTTCAAACTGGATTCTCCAGAGACTAAAAGTCAAAGAAAAGATTTTTGGTTAAATAGCCTGAGTTAAAACTGACTCAGGGCCTTCTCTCTGATCCAGTAGACAGACAGGACCTTCTGTCCCAAGGGGAGCCCAATCCTCAGGGAAGGGTTGGAAGGTCTTTGGCTCACTGAAGCCCCATAAGATTTGGGAGCTAGTTCTGAGCTGAAGCTTTGATGAAGTTGTGACCACAGGTAAAAAACCACTGTGTGAGGTTTGAAGGACGAATCACCAACCAGAGCCCTTGCTGGGATTCATGGGGAGATGCCTGATAAACTGATTAGCACATGTGTAGGTTCTTTCATTGTTTTTAATATGTTTTCTCTGCAACGCTTTCACCTTAAGAATAAATGTGCTTGCTTAGAAAGGGCCGTGTGGTAACTTAGCCATGGCAATTACATTGTGTGCCGTCTCTGAGGAGAGAAGCGAAGCAGGCCTGCTTAGGCAGTCTGTCTTTTGCGGGGAAGCTCACAGTATAATCGGGGAACTGTGCAGCCTGGAAACACCTCGCTGAGAAGAGGGAGAGACACAAATCTCTGCCCAAGGAAGGAAACAGCTGAGGAGCTGGAAGCCTAGAGTGGATACCTTTTCTGGACTATAGCGGGGGGGAATACAGCTGCAGTTGCACTGGTCTATGGCTGGCAGCAAAAAACTAAATACCCTTTTCTACATTATTAGAGTATTTGATGTATCGGTGGAAATGCCTTTTTGCATTGAAATCCTCACTGGAGCCAGTAGCTCTCTATACAGTATATCAAATTCTTCTTGCCTAAACTATTCTTTAAAGGCACTCATTCGTTAGAAATACTAACATTCAAGATAACTCTCTGAAACCCTAACATTTGTAGTGTTTCCCAGTGGAAATACATTTTTTACATGAAGTAATACATTTACTGAAAATATTACCTTTCTAAGGTGTATTACTTCTTTAAAACCAGGAGAATTTTCAATAGCATATTGCCAGTCAGTCATACAAAGAGCATATACTCTGGATTGGAGGAGCTGGAGGGTGTAGAAATTTCTGCTGTCACTACACCCAAAATTATACATTCTTCCTCTCATGAGAGCCTGATTCTCCTTGTCTTGCATCTTGTGTAGTTATTTTATCTCTGTGCAAAGTGAGATGAATGTGGATAACCATTTTACCCCTGCTACCATTCTGATCTGATAACATTTTGCACTCATGCTGCACAGGCGTATATGACTATGTAGGATGGAAGACAATGGAAAGTCAGGCCAGCAGTATATGTACATCTGCAGGTGTGAATTGTCATAGCTCCAATGACTTCATTTGAGCTATAACAATTTACATAATTTGAGGATCTGAGCCATAGATTTTAAAGCATGAAGAGACTACTGTGGTCTAGTATGACTTCCTGCAAAACATAGGCCATAGAATTTCACACAGTAATTCCTGTATCAAGCCCATATCTTGTCAAAGAAAGACATCAAATCTTGATTTAAAGACTTCAGGTAATTGAGAATCCACCACATCCCTTGGTATGTTGCCAATTATACTCACTGTTAAAAATGTGAACCTTATTTCTAGTTGTATTTATTTAGCTTCAGCTTCTAATAATCTACTTTCAGAAATCTTTTTTTCTGTGCCAATACTTATACACTGTAGTAAAGTCAACTCTTATCCTGAACTAAACTAAATAGACTGAGCTTCTTAAGTCTTTCCCAGTAAAGCAATTTTCCAGATCTCAAGTCATTCTTGTAGATCTCTTCTGAATTCCAAAATGTTATCAGCCCTCTACATTTCTCTCTTGGAGTTAAAATATCTTAATGTGACTGATCAATATTATAGCTTAGTTATTATAACATAATTGATACTGTAGCTGAAACTATTTTGTTATAGATTCTCACATATGCTACCCTGTCACAACTGTAATTGTTTGCAGTATTCTTTACCCATGTTGATCACATGATATGAAAGAGACAAGATAGGTGAGGTAATATCTTTTACTGGAGCTCTTCTTCAAGTCTGTGTGGCTCAAAAGCTTGTACCTTCCCCCTGTAGAAATTGGCTTAATAAAAAATATTACCCCACCTACCTTGTGTCACTTGATGATTACCTGTTCTGTTCATTCCCTCTGGGGCACCTGGCATTGGCCACTGTCAGAAGACAGGATACTGGGCTAGATAGACCTTTGGTCTGACCCAGTATGGCCATTCTTACGTTCTTATAACTTTAAATGCTCTTTCACTTCTTTGCACTTTTACCTACGAAATAATTAATATGAAAAAGAACGTTTAGCTTTTCTCATTCCCACATTGTTGATGGATGTGATCTGAAAATAATTACAGGAACGTAAGTAAACGGTTGCTTTTGTAGGGAACATAGGCCATATTTGAATTTAGGCCTGAGTGACTTTATTTGGCAAAATGTTTAAGTAACCATTATTAAGAAATGCCTGAAGCAGCTTTCTGGCTTGTAGGCACAAGGGTAAGGTCACTCATTCACCCTAGGCTCTGCCTCTGCCTTTCCGAGTCCCTTTTTCCTTTGTCGTGCTTACTGTCATGAGGATATGTGGAAGTGGATAGGCGGAGAAACTATGGGTGAGTTTTATGTGGGGTCCCAGCAGCTGGCCCCGCACCCAGGGGCTCTTCTGCTGCTGGCCCTGCACCCGGGGCTCCACTCCTGGCCTCTGCCTGGCGCTTCACCGGCTGTGGTTCCAGCCTCGGCCGTCTTTCCCCAGTCCACATCCCCATCTCCCGGAGCAATGGCCCTGCTCCCATTCCCAGCTCTAGCACCCCCACTCTAAAAACTGTTCCAGTGCCACTGTGGAAATGAGTGAATGTTTAATGCTAACTAGCCATTAATTATATTTAAACAACTAAGCCACTTATGTAGGGTCTAAACATAAATCTGTTACCAGTTCCTTCTCAGATGAGCCTCTTACATGTCCTGCTTACCAGGAGGACATCTGTTTGTGATCATCAACAGACTTTTGCAAGAAAATGTCCATCTTAGACTGGAATCTTTTACTGTGACCTCAGATCAAGATACCAAATTATTGGTTCCTGATGAGCTACAGTCAACATGCTCAACTCTTTTATTGGAGAAGGATGGTCCCCAAGATGCAGCAAGAGGACTGAATGCTACATGCTACTAGCCATGTGGAAGGAAAGGGCGGGGACTCTCTCACACTAAAAATTATACCTGAAGTTATATCCTGCTCTCATCCCTGGATTGACCATCCAGAGAAGTGAAAGACCCTGACCATCAACTAAACCAAGCCTGAAGCTACAAACAAGTGGGGAGGCACCTACCTGCATGCTAAATGAGCTCAAGTTATTTGCAACATCAGAACTATTTCTTAACTAAGGGCTTGTCTACACTACCAAGTTTTGTTGACAAAATTTATGTCGACACCCAAAAGTCGACAAAAGAAAAATCACCAAAGGGTGTTCACACTTGCTCCCTCTGTCGATAGATTATCTCCAACAATGCTATAAAGTGAGTGTGTGGTTTTGTGCATCCCTAACCGTTTCCCCATGAAGACAGTAATCCCCACGCCTCACAGGCGCACATCTGGCAAGTTTATTTGTAAGGTAAGAGACTAGTTTGGGTTAAAAGTGTTATTCCAAAGCTGCTAAGTGCCTGATTTAACACTTCTGCCTCTTTGTAAAAGTGTCAGAATGATGCAGACACTGTATAATGTGTAAAAGAGAAGAAGTTAAGTAAATAGACTCTAACATCAGTTGTATGTTCAGAGAAACTTAGTGGAATACCAAAGTGGGAAGCTATAAAGAAATCATTCTGAGAGTTATACTTCCTTAGAACAAAGGCAAGAGTCAGCTTCTGTCTTTAGCAGACTTAGCCCAATTAGTTAGACCAAAAGAAAGGTATTTTTCCTTAACTTTCCTGTGAAATATTGAATTAATTCTTGTGTCAACCTTATACATTGACTTAATAGTAATTGCCAAATCAGATAAATTGAACCATTGATTTATTGATTGAATTCCAATTGTAACCTTGATTTGATCATCACAATGTGTTGTATTTGATTAGTTTAGGGAAACTGGAAGTAAATTAGTTAGTGACATATTTTGCTTATATTTATATTTGTTTGCTTATTATCTTAATAAATCCCTAAAACACACAAGACTGGTTCCTCTCTCAAAACTTCAGCATGGGAACACAACCTATTTACAGGTAAAGGTAAATACATTGAGTAGCTCCCGAACCTGCATTGTAATTATTTGATAAAAATCTTATTACCACTGTACTTTCTTTGAACTAAAGAAAGTTCTCTTTTGAAATAACACAGAATTGAAGTTCAACTACTAAATTAGGACCAGGACATCATCAACCATGAACTAACAAAATATTAGCAATCAGTTTAAAACATAAACTACCCCCAAAACACATTTTCCTTTAGAATATTGCATAGGAAATCATTTTTCTTATCTACACAAAAAATTACACACATACATTCCTTGCCAAAAGCCATTTCAGTTTTACTTCTCTCTTATTGAGTTTCACTGACATGACCCATATTCTACTTCTCTCTGCAGGACCAGGGCGATGATATATGTGATCCCAATGAACTCCCACAGGAGTTCTAAAAATTCATATTCCTCTTTTTGTCACCGTAAGACTTTAAACCATGTATTGTATTTGAGCATA